TGTAAAAAATATTGCTGTTCTTGCTATTGGTTCACTTTCTTTAATGGCACTGGAAGGTTCTTTACTGTGTTCAGTTCTAAATAGACACCCTCTTTTGCCAGACCATTAGCTATCTCGTTACCTTCAACGCTCGTGTGGCCTTGCACCCAGTAAATGTACACTCTTCTGTTTTCAGACAGTACTAGAATCGCAACTTTACATAGTGCGACCAGCACCACAGCTGACTTCATGTGCTGTATGAAATTGTAATTAAGGCCTTTATGGCCATTTGGCTATCAACCTTTGCTAAATGTAGACTTTCATATTTTTACTGGAAAAAGATGTTTTGATGTCAAAATGAATCATGATTTGTATGCATTTTTTTATTGATATAAATTTTCATCTGGAAAAAATTAAATTTTTGTTGACCAGTGTTACTGTTTAGTGTTGGCTGTTAGTAGCAAAACAAAAAAATGTAAATAGGAAATAAAAAAAATACATGCATGCCACAAAGGAACGCATCGCTGTCAACAGATCCCTTAAGCAGACACAATTTTTCACACAATCAAATGTAGGCGCTCGCGCCCATAGCACACCACAACGAAAATATAACCTCGCCCCCACCACTCCAGCAGTCAAACCAGCGGCCTATCGAATGATATTAATTTATCCACGAATAAACAAATGTGCGTTTCTTCTTATCCACAAGGGGCAACATAAATTACAAAGTAGAAATTATAAATATTTTTAAGCTACTGAAATGTGTAAACAAAGCCAAATACCAACCCAACAGTCGGGGGAGGAGTGACTGGCTTAGTGCGGGGAAAAACGGGGGCGTGCGATAAACTCTAGCAATAAATACAACAATGTATATATGCAAGTATATTGATAGCGGCTGCGGTAGCCGAGTGGGTAGCATTGCATACTGTAGGAAGGCCCAGGTTCAACTCCTGGTGTGAACATCCAAAAGTTACAGAAAATTAATTAAAAAAAATTCAGTTAAATTTTTTAATTTCTGTCGCCCTTCTGCAAGAAATGTTAAAAACTCCGAGTGTATTTCCGTCATGGAATCAAGGTTCCTCATAAAAAACCATCAGCCGTTTGGATACGGCTTACTATAAACTGTAGGTCCCTCCATTCGATGGAAAAACATCAAGACGCAAAGCCACAAATTGGAGGAGAAGCTCGGCCGAAAATCGCTTCAGCGGTTACAAATCGCCAATTATATGTATATATTCATAGCAGTGTGTGCTAGTATGTACATATGTGTATTCATAAAAACGAAGAGTGCAGCTGTGCAACACTTCCCTTTTTATCGCGGTGTTTTTCGTCCGAGTTGCGGTGGCTGAGCAGTTGAAAAACTTATATGTAGAAAATTCCTTATCAGTATAGGAAATAAAAGTTCCCATTTATAACAACTGGAAAATGTTCAACTTTGAACTGCGCCGCGCATAAATTCCATTTTAAAGAGACTGTAGTGGAGTAACTGCTCTTTATTGTTGTTATTGTTGATGATGATGTTGTTGTTGTTATGCCAGCTATAGTCATTGCACTCAAATTAAGAACACTATAAAAATAACACTCAGAAGCATTAAATGCATTAAGAACAACAACAACAACAACACCAAGTGGGTGCACTTTCCCGTTTCACTTTGGTTTTATGCATCTTCCAATTGGTCGACGCCGGTGCCAGCGCCATATCATGTCATTCCAAGCCAATGCACTTCACTACTCCCCACCAACGTTTAACAGAGTTGCTTGAATATGTTAGTATGTAAATACATATATATACATATTTTTATTTTTATATTTTCTTCTTTCTTTTCCTTCTGTTGTTTTGGAAATGTTACATGACGCGGAAGAGGTTTGGTATTTTTCGTTCACAAATCTAGGTATGTACATATGTGTGACTGTGTATTTAATCTTTTTAATGATGACCAAAACGCTTATTAAACGCGCCGTTTAGTTTCCATAAATGAAGTATTGCTCATGCAGTCGTGATTCCATTACATTGTTTCGATAATAAAATCTAGACCCTCCTTTTGAATTTCTCAAATTCATATGTTTGATTTTGTGGCCTCGTTAAAACCATTTAAACTCATTCATTGCTTCTTGATTGAATGCTGACAGTTGAAGTGTTGTTGTGTTTCAGTGTGATTGGCCGGTATTTAATTTGAATTGTGAAATAAAAATAAATTAGTCTGAAATTGCAGCAGAAATGTAATTGGCAGTTAATAACTTTATGAAAATCCTAATCGTTTATGATGCCATTGATATACAAGAAATTCGAATTGCATTCCGGCGATGAAGAGAGAAGATTATATAAATTTGCATTAGAAACTTTTAGCATACTTTCAGGAGTTGTTCAGTAAAATTAGATGTGAAAATTTGAATGGGTCATACCACGATGCCTGCTGAATTCAAGAATAATCAATATTTTAAAGTACTACATTGTGGACCTGAAATTCAAATTCTGTTGAATAAAAGTTTGTCTTTTTTTCTTTCCTCTACTTAAATCAGACTAAGATAGATCAAAACGTTTATTAGTATGGGTACAGACCTGGAAGGTATATCATTGAGCAATTATTCATCATGTGGTTAATCCTTTAACTAAAAAACATGAGGAAAGTTGGATACACACCACCGATTCGATGATTTTTAAGATGCCTTTGAAAACACGTACAGAAACTGCCTCAATGCCACTGTGGCGGAGTTTGGTATCCTCGAGCCTGCTAAAGCTATTCAAACTAACGTTTAGCACTACCAAAAGCTTTGTCAGAAGGACCCCTCCGAATCGCTTGTCCCTCTATTTCGTGTAGCTCCTTCAATCTAATGTTGAAGAAAAAAAATAAGAGCTGCAGAGCTTAAAAAGGTACATTAATCAAAAGGGTGATATAGACGGCCGCGGAAGCCGAGCGGCCCCTCCGAGTGTACTTCTGGCATGAAAATCAAAAGCTTCTCACAAAAAAAATCATAAGCCCCTCGGAGGCGGCTAACTTTGCCTTGAATTACAACTCAGAATCACTGTAGCCAACAGGGCCTACTTCGGACTGTGTAGGCAAGACATCTTCCTACAGACGAAGGGTCTACTCTACAAGTCGCCCATTACTGACGTTCGGTTTTTTTATCAAGAAGCATGAACAATAACGAAATTCGATGAGTCAGTTTTGAAAGTCTTTGAGAAAGATTTATGGTCCTATATGTATGAGTGAAGATTGAGCTGAAAGAGATAAACGGCGACAACGACATAGTTCAGCGAATTAAGAGAGAACAGGTTCCTCCAGTCTAGAAAGATCTGCTGGTGGTAGCCCTCAAATTCCTTGGAGGGATCAGGTTATTAAGGACCTAGCTTCACTCAGTAGCTTTATTAAGCAGCGCCTAGGCGATAGATATAGATATTTCCTTTGCACACCTCACCAAACACGATTTGGACATCATGATGAGGAAGCGCTCATATGTGAGTTCTAGGCATCTTACTTCGCGTCGTTCCCTTCGGTTGGGACGTGGACGCAAATCAGCGATAAGATGAAGAACTTCGCCGTGTTGTGTAAATCACTGCGGTGATTTTAAGACTCGGCAATGGAGCATATCTGCCACTGCAAATCCAACACCAAAGCAATTCTTGGACGATGTTGATGTCATATTTCAATCATGCGAGGATATCAACCACCTGGACAGCGGTAAGTTATAATTAAAGGACCGCGCACTCCAGCTGCATGCTCTTATATATCTCAGACCTTGGAACGGAGTTTCTTTTCGACTGTCATTTGACAGAGTCTGGCACTCAGAACAACTATACAAAATTAAAAGGTTGCTTCCCACCCCATTACCTAAGGTACATACACTACTTCGTTAAAATTTAAGATTCAATTTCAGATATATACAAGGAAAATGCTGCTCAAGGTGGTGTTTTGGGTCCAACACTTTATACGATTTATGCTGCAGATATGCCAATGATAGAGGACACCAACATAACTGTACATATTAGAGTTAAAAGAAAGCAGCTCAAGAATAAAACCATAAAAATTTATTGGTTGCTTGGCCCCAAATCTAAACTTAGCCTTGAAAATTAAATCCTTATTTATGAAACAATGTTGAAACCAGTATAGACTTACGGAATTGAAATGTGGGGATGTGGTACAAAGATTTCAATCAAAAGCACTCCGATTAATAACGAATGCACCAAGGTACATTAAAAACAATAATTTACATGGAGATCCAAAAAACATCCATGGTCATACACGAAATAGAAAAATTCAGCAGAAGATATATCGAAAAACAATCATCCAAACACACAAGCTGTCAAGATGCTAGACAATTGCGAGGAAATTACAAAGACTGCACCCTCTAAACTTGCCCTTCAGATCCTTAAAATAAAAATTACATACCTTAACTTTTGGACAAATTGCAGTTAATGCATCAACATAAATCTTAGTTATAGTATAATTTACTTATTGCCAAGCGAAAGATTGTAAATAAATATACTAAAAAAAATTCCCCCAACTGGCGTCGTAGAAGCTCAAATCTTGGTTATTTAACTGACTGAGTTTATGATTCAGTTCCGAACGTTTTAAAACAATTGCCTATGAGTTTCTGAAATTTAAGGAGCATACCTTTGATAAAATTACCTCGGTAAGCCTAAGTGTAAGCAACATTTTTATTACATATTTACTTCTTGTTTAAAATTGCGAATTTTCTCTTTGCTGGTGTTCATCCTTGACGTTCGCTCACAACGTACTGAGTCAATCAATCGAAAAACTGTTAAAGACAAACTTTTAGAGCGAATAAATACGCCATCTCTTAGATAAAAACCGAACGAACTTTTTACTTTATTAATAATATTTTTCCGACACTTGTTTTTACGACTTGCACAACAAGCTCAAATTTTTCAATTTTAAAGAATAGAATTATTTAAAAAAAAATCAAGTTTACCATATCGAAATTTAAATTAATTAAACATATATTTATATCCATTCCTTTTTCTCTTCAAGAAAATTGATAAATAATCGATTTTTACTTACATGTTTCTCAGGCTTCAGCACCACCAAATCACCATTTGCCGAGCATTGATCTACCCGCTCAGCGGCACAACGACCATATCGACTTTGTATGGCTGCCGTAGCGGCGGCGGAGAGTAGTTGTGGTGAGTTCTTGGACGTTGGTGATGAGCAAGCACTTAGCGAAAGTGGACGATTCGATGACATTAAATTATCCAAATCACGTAAAAATTTATTTGCCCAAATATTCACATCTTCTTGGGTCTGCGCTGCTACGGCACAATCATCAACTGCTTGATTGCTATTGGCTTTCAACTGCGCTATGCCGCTGATGGGACTGAGCGGTGGTGGCGGCAAAGCTTTGAGCTCTGTGGTGGTGCGACAGAAGCGCGGCAGTTTGTTGACATTATTCGCACTCACACTTGTTGCTTGTTGTTGACAAGCAATTTCCGACATGTTGTTGGGAACTGATGCTGGTCCAGCTGTTGGTGCGTCAACCGTGTCGCAGTGGGATAATCTATTACCGCTGTTGATGTTTGTAACTGGAGCATCGTTAGAGCAGCAGTTGAGCGGCTTATTAACAGTGTTTCTCTTTTGCTGTTGTTGTCCTAGTTGTTGTTGTGCGCGTTGTCGTGCGCGACGCTCCTCGAATACTTCGTTGATTTCGTGCTGCAAAGGGATGGATAATTGGAAAAATATTATAAATATATATATATAAGTTTTTTGAAATTGTTAAAGACCAAATCACAGTGCAATAAATATAGAATTATATAATGATCTTTGTTGTTATCTACGTTTTCTGCTAGTATTTATTAGTAGCCGCACTCATTTGTTGGCATGGCACGCCCATAAAAGCATTCTAAGTCTAATTGAAATCCTGTTGCACCACACACTCACGCTAACTACTAGACCAACATAGCAATCGACTCAATTAGAATCCCTTCATTTTCATTTTTCAACGTTAATTTATTTGCGGCATCGCAATCTGGACACATTTAAAGCCACAAACTCACTTACGAAGCAAAGCTTAGTGCAATTCACACTGTTTGCGGACGTCTTATGGCCACGATTCATGCGTCGCCATATTTTCCCACACACAAAAATTTTGCAAAATGTGGCCCACTCCAGCAGCCCCCAGGCGTAACAGTCAATTTATAATAATGTCAATGCAACAGAAATCGAGAGGAAATAAATTAGAACGTCGCGACTGAGATAGCAGCTGATAGCCGTCTTGCCGCAGCGCCTAGAAGCCACCGTGCTTGGGCGATACAATAAATAGAATTGCTACAATTTGTTAGCGGGATTAGAGAGAACGAAAAGTGGAAATATAAAAAAAAAAATTAAAAATATAAGAGAAAAATTGTGAGATCGTTGAGTCGCCAAACAAAGCCGCTACCATGCTTTGCTAGCAGCTCTGGACAACTTGGTGGCAGCGCAAAGAATTGTGTCTGGCTGGTTGGTTGAAGCCGTGGCGCATCGTTGCAGGCCCTTTCGGGCGTATTACTTAATTAAAAACGTGCCCACGGCCTCAGCCTCCATGCGCTGCGGTCACCATCACTTGTAGCGACTGCTTCTGCTTCAGCTTCTCAGGCGGCTAACCAATTTTTCACTCACATCATTTGATAGAAATTAAAGGTTTGACTGCGATTGTGCGCAGCCGTTTGAGTTGCTGCAACTCTTCCTATTTTCTTTTTAGCATAGCGTACCAACATTAGTGGGCAATAAATTTTCGCGAGTGCCACACAATGGCAACAATGCAAAAAATAAATCAAAACAGGTACAAAAAGGTAGCCAAACTCTTTCGCGAAAAGTAGTCAACCAATAAAAGCTGGCAAATCACAGCTCCACTTTTTGTCGCTTCGAACGCCGTAACGCCTACATGGCGTTTGAACGCGTGTCTACAGTGTATGAGTCTACATCTCTCTGCGTTCACAATATGCTTCGGTGTTTTTGTGTTTTCTTTCTCTTTCCGAACTTTATCGCTATGTGATGGACCTGACAATAGCAGCCACTTTTGCACCTTTTACCTTGCAATTCGGTTTTACTTCGCATCCTTCTTTCTATTAATCTTTAGCGGCAAATACTATTTGTGTTTTTTGTTCTCTAGAATTTAGCGCATCATTTGTCGCCGTTGTCAGTTGTGTTGCTGACAAATTTATGGGGTTAATGCGATTATTGTGAAGTTATTTAGTTGTAGATATTGTTGTTGTATTTATTTGGTGGCACTACGAAGCTTGTTTGTTTGATTCGCCGACGCTTTTAGTGTCAACTGGACAACATTGACCCAGTAGTTGTTTGTGTGAAGTGCAAAAAAGTGGGTTGGAAGATTTATTTTGGCATTCGTGAGAAAGTTCTATTTTAGAGGGGATCTTTTTGCTTGTCAAACGGAGCTCAGTAAGATCCACTTTATCTAAAAAGTGTTCAATTAATTTTTTTCTCTTTCTGTCTGAGATGTGCGCATTGGCTAAATTAATATGATACAGCCTAAGTGTAGGCAACATTTTTTCCTGTGATTGGAGCAAAAACTAGCAAATTACTTAGATTATTATGTACATGTCAGGTGGACAGCTATAAAGTGAAATTTAACTAAAAAAAATAATCTTAAAATGGGGATATCATAAAGAAGACCTTCCACAACAAATGTAACCTTGATTTTAGAAATATTTTAGGAGAACCACACTCGACGGCAGAATTTTGTTTAAAACTTAATAAATTTACTGGAGTAAATACTTAAAAAATAAATGACCCCCGATTCCTATAAAATAAACAAAATCTGACTCAGAGCAATCTACAATAAAACCAAATAGACCACATACATTCTACAACAATAGAAAAAACAACAACAGGCACAAGAGTAGAATAACATATTTAATTTCACGCAGTTATGAGCAATGCAAACAAATGGCAACAAAGCAGCCGGTACAGCGAGCGACTATAGTGGCCGGCATAGAAACTCATCGCCCCACCCAACACCACCGCCCACACATATAGCGCCAGCAACGTCATTTCCACACACAACAAAACAATAGAGCTGAGAGTTCCCAAGGCGCAACCCAGCCTGGGTGGGCTAAGTGACCATTTGGTCAACTGACTTGGTGGCCAATTCCCAAATACGCCACCGCCGAGGAGGATCATACGTTCGTTGGATAAAAAGAAAGCGCAACAGCCAAATCTTGGCGACTATAAAAGCAGCACGAAGATGTATGGCAACTTTCAGTTTCTTGCAAAAAACGCTTAGAACCACCACGGCGTTGGATTGCGCTGGTGGTCTGTGGTGCGTGTAAAAAGCAATAGCCAGACAAGGCTTAGTGCCCGCAAAAGTGTAGCCGCAACACATTCAAGAGGATCTAAAGTAGACGGTGAATAAAAAAGGGGACCAGACGTGATAGTGCTTACTTCTTTGCAAGTCTTCTTCTTTTGTGCCCGTGTCCGCGAGTGTGTGTGCTTGATAGCATTGGCAAGGAGGAGCCACCCAACAACATGAGAATCACGCTTTCCGTGCTCCTCGCCACGCTCACAATTTATTGCAGCGCAACTGTATTATCTTTGCCACGATCGCTTATCGCAACAGCGGCATCCTTGGCACGGCACCATGCTCGCCAACAACGCGGCAGCCGTCACAGCAACGACGGTACGGCTGAAGCCGCCGCCGCCAGCCTTTTGCAAATGCGCATGTGGCCGTCAGCAGCAGCTGAGGTGCGCTCGAAGAAGGACGCAGCTGGGTTTGTGTTAGACGGCAGGAATATTGCCACAAATAGCTATACAGACACCGGCACTGACACAGACACCACCGGCGATGATATCGACCGACTGTCCGACAGTTACGAACTGGTCACAACCAATAACCATAACAACAACCACAACAATGCTGGCTTTAAGCAGGCGCATCCCTACCAGTTGGTTAGTGGCAAGTTGGCAGACGTTAAGGATGTTGTTGCTCATGCAACAAGTGGCAATCGAAAATTACCGACTGAGTATGATTTAAATGCGCTGCTGGCTAGTGCTGCCGATACTTTGGCATGGCAGCGTGCGGCAAGAGCACAACAAACAACGCAACAAAAACCAGAAAGTCAAACGTGGCTGCAAGCTCCACGCATTCGAGCCATGCAGATGAAGGAATTCTTTACGCCGCTCAAATATTGGGCACATCATTGCCAACCGCCTGATCGCAACTGTCCGCGGGAATACTACCGCGCGCTGCTCGCTGACAGGTGAGAGAGTGAGAACTAAAAGAAAAAACGCAAGGGACTGTCTTCACTTTAGCGGTATATTGGCTTTTGTGTGTGTATGTATGTATGTTCCTAATTGGCTTAAAAAGTCTAAAAAAAAGAAAGAAAGTAAAAGGCAATAAATAATTCCTTCGAAATGAAAAGAAAAATAGGCCGCCTTCAAGGTTGCGGCAGTGAAAGTGTTTTTGAGGCGGCGCGCAAAGAATCTCTCACTGATTTAGTGCTTCCTTTTTATTTCTCCTCTGTGCCAATGGTTTCGTACTGTCAATGTCTATATATTTTTGCATGAACCAGCGTACGTTTGTTGGTATTTACATGCCCGGCGGCTGTCATACACTTGCTTTGCTCGACTTACTGTCCGACTGCTTGATTGCAGGTTGTAATTCCATTTCGTTTTAGTGTTTTATGTCTCTCTGTCTGGTAGTCCTCATGTTTATGAATGCATTTTTGTTTTATTACCAGAGTTGCATTTAAGGAAAACGAAAGTAATGACCCTTTAATTGACACCTTTCATAAGTACAGGTTGCACAGCAATCGGGAGGCTGGTGCACTGTCAGAGAGTTACGCGATTTATTGTTGTAGTATATTATACAAAAATATTGAAAAAAGTGAAATATGGAAGTGTGATTGGATTATACAAAGTATTTGTATATTATATATAGTATAATAATAGGTCTATTAAAAAGTAGTCCATTTTTGAAATATATGGATTTTGTGATCTGTATCATGTGATCACTACGTGAAGACTTCAATAAGGAGTGATACCTATAGTTTTGACGTCGATTGAGTGCTGTGTTTCTGTCCTGTACCAGTGTACATTTCATTTCGGGTTCGTTAGGTTTTGGCTAAATAGAATACTGTAAGGATTCTTCAGGCAACATATACGACAGCCATGGCTACGTGTGGCTTTCACTTATTTGTAAAAAAAAAAAAAAGCAATAACCGATAACCTTCAAGCCCGGTAGCTTAACAACACTACGCTGAAGAACTAAAGGTTTTCTCAAATAAGGAGTTTGAAAAGATCTTCGCGGTTTAAAAGAAGTGCTAGGACATGTGCATAGTCTCTAACGAGGTGTATTTTGAAGGTGGCATCATAAGCAGACGAATATGTGCAAAACTTGAATTCTCGATTTTTTTTAAAATACTTCGTATAGAGCGAGAATGAGGATTGTACTGAAACGATGGGGTCAATGGCAAATAGTCGGAATGAAAAATGTGGATTCAGCCTCAAATTCTAACCATGTTTTAACCATATTGTTTGGAAATGTGAGGAAATGAAAACATTCAATATTTTGTAAATAATCATAATTGGTTTGTTTCAAGATTTTTGATTCCATATCTATATGTATGCAAATCGCCCCTCCGACTTAAAGCTTCCCCCTTTCGTCGGTAAGGCCTTACATTCCTAACCAAAAATTAGGTTTCTGAGCATTACTTTAT